AGGGGCTGATGGCACCCTGCGTGCCCGCAGCTCATCAAAGCCATCATCGAGCCAGGGCAGATCACCTGCGAGTTTCAGGTGCAGCACCTGACGAAGGCAGACATAGGGCTCTGGGAGTGCCGAGTCTCCACGACTGGGGGCCAGGACAGCCGGAAAGTCAAGGTCAACATTCGAGGTGAGGAAAAAGCAGCAGCATGAGTGAGATGAGATGGGGCTGCTAGAGGAGGCTGACCACACAGTGTGGCAATGCCAAACCCTCCCCACATTGGACTGAGTGACACCCATCGTGTGCCGCAGTGTCAGCAGACAGGTTTGAGTGGTGATAAAAGACTTCCCTGACAAAGCTGAAAGAAGACAAGAGGTGGTGGATGTCCCCACACTCTGGTCCTCATTGTTCCCAGTCCCACTAGTGTTGTTCCCTCCTTTATCCCCAGTGCCACCAGTGCCCCTGAGCCCACCACGGCTGCTGGCCAAGCAAAGCCGCCAGCTCGTGGTATCGCCCGTGGACTGCTTCTCAGGCGACGGACCCATTGCATCCATCAAGCTGCTCTACAAGCCCAAGGACGACACCTCAGCATGGTCATCCATTGTGGGTACGTGTTTGCCGGGGAAGAGGGCACAGCTGCCCCTGCCAGTGGGGGTCTGAGGTGGGCAGAGGTCTCAATCCTGGGACCCCTGCAGTGATGCTGGGGCGGACGCCAGTGACTCATGGGCATGGCTGAGTGTGGGTCGTGGGCATGTTTTTGACATATCCTCTTGTGCAATAGTTGACAACAGCGAGAACATCACCGTCATGAACCTCCGTCCAGTGACCGCCTACGTCATCAAGGTGCAGCTAAGCCGGCCAGGGAATGGTGGGGAGGGCAGCAAGGGGCCCGAGGCCATCATGGTGACCGAGTGCCTTGGTGAGCCCGCATCTCCCTCAACCTCACCCTGATCCTAACACTGACCCTACCCTTGCACATGAGGTTTTGCTGCCTTTTTGTTTGCAGAGCCTACAGTCAAGCCTGTGATCGAAGGTTGGTCCATAGAGGAGAAAAACACCCTTCATGTCAACTGGAAGTTGCCAAGTAACCACGAGCCAGCACATGGGTTCATCGTCCATCTCTTTGACTCTGCGAGGCGGCTAGTCTGTGAGAAAAACATCACGTCCATCTCTGTGCTCTCCGCCCGCATTGGGGACCTGGAGTTCAACAAGGAGTATGGGCTGGAGGTGCTGGTCTACCACTGCACCAGCCTGGGACCTCCCTCTGACCTCTACAAAGTCATGATCAACAGCAAAGGTGAGTCCGGCAGCACACAGGGAAGTATTACAGGGAATTACATTGATAAATCCGTTATAAATGTAACAGGGACCATGCTCAGGTCTGGCTGCTTGTGTATCCTGTCTCTGATAGTGCATGAATAGCTGCTTGGGGAAAACGGGTCCACCTTTCCCTGCAAGACCCTGCAGCCTCCAGCACCAAGCAGCTGAGAAACATCCTAAGCTGAACATGACATTCAGGTCATCACAAGCGATGCTCACAAACAGATCTGTTCTCTGCACCCTTGCCCAAGCCCTGATGGACCTGTCTGTACTTGCAGCCTTTACAACACCCTGTAGCAACAAGTTCCACAATATAATTATACTTTGCATGAAAAAATTTTTTCCCTTTGGTTCACTTTAATGCTGCTGCCTGGTAGTTTTGCTGGATGGTCACTAGGGCTTAAGGAGAGCTGTAGCTCCTTCTGGGGGCAGATGCACGCAGCCTCCCACATAGGTGGGAAATTGTGGGGAGGTGCATCATCAGCCTGACCAGCCTTCCTGACAGGCAAGGGGTGAGCAGTGCATGAAGCCTTCAGTGAGGCTCTGTGCCAGCAGATATACGTTGGGAGGGCTGGTGGGCATCAGGCTTGAAGAATGTGAAGCTTTCTCCGCTTGGTAATTTTAAGCACTTTGTGGGATTTGGTGATTTAGGGTTAGAGATGTGGACAGGTTGGAGAAGGCTCAGAGGAGACAGTGGGAATGATAAGATGCTCAAAACCTGCCATGCATGAGAGAGGGTTGAAGAAAGAAAATATCCCAAGAGCTAGTCGGTACAGAGACATCTAGCTTGATGGTCCCTGAGGCTGGGACCTCAGAGGAGTGTTTGTGGGGGCAGTCCTGCCCTGCTGCTGGAGAGCAGCTCTGCCTCCTCCTGTCTCTGCCCAAGCAGGGACCGGAGGTCCCTCAAGCCTAGCGCAGCTTTGATTGCCATTGCCATCCATGGGGTCCAGTCCTTGGGCCAGTGCTTAGCCCCTGCAGCACTGAGAGCCCCACCCTGGGGCTGATGCTTTCCTCTCCTTGTTCCAGGGCCCTCCTCCCCACGGTCGCTCTTGGCAGAGTCTGTGTCCGACACCGCTGTCAGGCTCTCCTGGCAGGTCCCGGAGTACCCCAACGGGGGCATCACCAAGTACATCGTGGAGCTGCAGCAGGTGGGGGGCACTAGTGAGCCCCAGTGGATCGACACCGACAGCGGCACTGAGACCACCAAGATCATTGGGGGTCTCAATGCCAGCACCAGCTACCAGTTTCGTGTTCGGGCCAACTCCCATGTCCCAGGGGAGTGGAGCCAACCTGTGAAAGCCAAGACCTTGGGGGACGGTGAGTAGGGTGTCCTAGCAGGCAGGAGGCTCGTGGCTCTGCTGCAGTTTGGGCTCAGCATCCGGGTCAGCAAAGAGCAACCAGGGTGCTCATGGTAACCTCAGAGAGCGGCTCTGAAGCAGCAGCTCAAACTCAAAACACTTGTGGGCATCTTCAGAAATCCTGCTCCTCCTAGTCCTGATGAGGCAGGGGTGGCATGGTGACAGCACGGCACCTGCAGAGTGGCTTTGCCTTGGCCAGAGGGTGACACGGTGTGCAAGGGGATAAAGGACCAGGGCAGAGCCCGCATGGGAGGAGCTGGTGGCTGGACCCAGAGCTGGTTGGAGGGTCCAGAAACTGGTGGGTTCAGTGGCAGAGCTTGGGCAGTGACACCCTCACTCCTGTGCTGTCATGGCCCTGGGAGCTCAGGATGCATCTGTGGTGTCTTCATGGGGTCCTGGGGTGCTGGGAGAGGGCTGCAGTCTCAGTGCCTGGCCACCCATGCAGCCCAAGCAGGGCTCGGCCGTGGACCACGACCCTTCATCCCTCCTTTCAACAGGAGCGCTGAGTGTGCCGCCCAGCCTGGGCAGCCAGAGCATCGAGCAGGGGGGGATAGACCAGCAGCTGCTCTTGGCCATCATTGGCTCTGTGTCCGTCACCTGCCTCCCCATCCTCTTTTCCCTCCTGG